CAAAATTTGGGAGCCACGTAAGAGAATTATATATATTAGATCAGAAACACATCATTAAAAGGCAGAATGCTTTGGTGTTTTCAAAACGTAAACAAAACAAAGCAAACGTTGCCACCGGCGGTAAAGAAATACAGCCAAAATTTGGGAGCCACGTAAGAGAATTATATATAATAGATTATTATTTTAAGTAAAAGAAAAATTCAGAAATTTCAGCCATTTCATGCAGCTTTACTCCTTCAATTTCAAGTTAGATTTATTTCCAATGCCTCTATTACTATTCCCAGTTATTTCTATTTTTATTGCAACTGTGTTTCCGAACGATACACCGAGGAATCTTTAAATGTTTTTTTGTTAAAATATTTTATAAAATTATTAGCCACAGTTAATAATGTGTATATGACACACAGTAGGGTTGAATCACACAGGTATGTGCCTTTCTTCCAACTTCTACGTAACAACCAATAAGAGGACTTTCACCTCCGACAGATTCAAAGTGCACCTCGCTGCTTTAAACACAACAGTTGTTCTGTTTTCTGGCGGGATCAAACTTACGACACCCAGTTTTCTAACAGAGTGTGTCATTTTCCATTTGCAGTGACCAGCTGCCCATCTCAAAATTGAATTGCTCCTTCCTGGTAGATTAGCTTGCTGATCCAGCAGACGAAGCTAAAATTATAAGAGAAAAAAATCAAACTTTACATTGAAGACACTAAATTTAAACTATTAAGTATTGAATATTTATTTAAAACTTTAATTATTTAATTTGAAAATATCTTTAAGGTATAGTGATATCCTCCATAATAAAATTCAATGGGTGGATTTTCCGATTATCTGAGGCCAAAGAATCTCGGTATCAATACACAAGAATCCAAAAACGTAACAGAGGGAATGCGATTATCTAAAAAAATTTAATTTATTACCGCTCTGAAGTAAAAATGTTATTCTTTCATTTTTTTAAAAAAAATAATAGTACGAAACCTTTGAGCTATTTTTATTTGAAGTGAACTTTCGAGCATATACTGATACAAAAATATCCCACGTTCAATACTCTTTATTTATTTAAAAAAATAAAGCACCATGACACTCAAACCTCAAAATATTTTTGTACATTGCACAAGCTTATAGAGCCAGCAGGAAATGTTTACATTTTGTTTCCGTATCGTGATCTGTGGCAGAAGTTACGACTCAAAAGTTAAAAGGCTTTTCCTGTTTTGTATCGTTCAAGAAAAAAATTTACTTCCACTAATATTTTCCTGCGTTTTCGGGCATAAAATTGCATTGGCTAAAATTAATATTTTAAGTAAGATTTAATTTATTGTTTTCTTTCATAAATAAATAATAATTTATTAATAATATGGGATGTCCCTCCAACAAAAAAAGTGGCACTGAACTAAAAGTAATAACATCGAGGATAATTTTAAAAGTTCGAATGTTAGATTGAATACTATTTAATCCTATATAATATCAGCTCTAATATTAGAACTATTATTACTATTACGTTACTATTATGCGTTACTATTATCTTCGATGCATGATTAGTTTGATTATGTTCTTCATGGTTTCAAGTATGTCTTTATGTTAAGAAATATATAGTAAAAGGATTTAATCTTTGTAAAATAATC